CGTCGGCCAACCGACAGGATACGTTGGGCTGGGCGTCGGGCTCGGCGTTGGGTAAGGCGGTGGGAAAACCGTCGGGTAGGGCGTCGGGAAGGGCGTCGGGAAGGGCGTCGGGTAGGGCGTCGGGAAGGCCGTCGGGAAGGGCGTCGGAGAGGGCGTTGGGGAAGCCGCGGTGGTAGCCGATCCTGCGAAAAGCCATGCTTGGTGTTGGAAGAGCTGCACGCCAGACGAACCAGCGCCGTGTATGAAGTATTCCCCGAAAGGGGCATTGACATTGTTGGGCCAATTCTGCGTCTTCAGCCCGATCCCAATAGGAGAGTCGGCGTCGTTGGTATCATATGGCTGGCAGCTCTGGTCAGGGAGGTTCACGCAGTACCCGATGCGGGCCCAGTTGTTGTCATTGCACTGGGTGTTGATCCCTGGCCGCTGCATATTGCAATTGCCGCCTCCGTTCCCGTTCCAATAGTCGTCGTACCAGGTCGGGGTCCCCGGCGGCAAAAACAGATCTGTCCAGGCCTGCTTCGCTGCGTCGGCGGCTCCAGCGCCATAACCCAGATTTTCGCTGCGGATGAATCCCGAGCTGAAGAGAGCGCTTGCGCTGGTGTACGTCGCGCCCAGCTCGTACGTGTAGCAGTTGTCCAGCGTCTTGTAGCACAACGTCAGGGCGGAGATCGGGTCTGTGTTGAATGCCGACATCTTGACGTCCTCGTCGTCAGAGTCGCTGACCGAAGCGCCGCCAGCTTCGTTCAACACAGAAGTGTCGGTCCAATAGCTTGCGTCATACTGGAAGGTATTGGAGCCAGCCCTCAGCTTCATCAGCAGCGTCGGCGCCGAACTTGGCGATGCAACACAATCGACGGTCGTATCGAGTGTCGCATAATCAGTGTCTGTAATCGTTTTCAAAGTTGTCCATGTGACCGCATCGTTTGAGCCTTCCATGTAGGCCGTCCCACTCGCGCTGTGATCACCTCTCCAAAACCAAATCTTGACCTGATCGACTTGTGTCGGCACTCCGAAGTCGTACGCCAACCACCCAGCCCCTCGGGGATAACCATCACCGGCTTCATTGCAATATCCACTGCCATACATTGCATAATTGCTTTGATCGAAAGCTTTCTCGGGGCTCCAATCCGAGTAGAATCCGGAAGTAGCAAAAGCGCACGGTGCACTGCCGCAGTGAGTTGCAGGTGTTGAGAGCACGCTACCACCGTACAAGTACTGCATCTCATTGATGCACAGATGATGCGGGTTTGCACTCGCGACTGGGACATAGTACCTGTAGTAGCGCCACGCACCGCATGCCGCCTCGACTGCTACGGTATGCGATCCAGTTGCTGTGAAAGTATGAATTTGGTAGCCATTGCTCGTGGTGACTGTGCCACCTTGGAGCAACGGGATGGAACTCAGGTACTTGATGATCACGATGCCAGACCCTCCGTTGCCAGCCAAGGAAGACTCAGGATCCGTGCCGCCGCCACCACCGCCAGTGTTTGCCTGCCCATCTTCGCCATTGAAGTAAGCGCCGCCACCACCGCCGTAACTGCTTCCATCGCCGCCGCCCCCTAGGCCGCCGGCCCCTCCTGGATAAGTGGTGCAACCGCAGTTTGCGTTGACGCCACCGCCACCGCCTCCGCCGTAATACGTAGAGTGCCTGAAATCGACGACGCCACTCCAACGCCACCATCTCCTCCGTAGTGCTGTTGGGGCGCGTCGCTCCCAACGCCGCCCGCACCGCCGCCGCCACCGCCTGCGCCGTACCCCCCCCCCTGTCGCTGCGCCCACCCCGGTAGCCCTGTCCCGCGACCCCAGCCGCGTAGGCAACACTCGGCAGATCGTAGGCGCCTCCACCGCCTGAGCCTCCGCTGGAGGCAGTCCTGGAACTGCCCCCCGCACCCTTGCCACCGCCATATGCCACCAGAGAGCCGATCGAAGAATCTCCTCCGTTCGTCGCCTCCGCAGTGGTGCCGCTGCCCCCCGAACCTCCGAGACCGCCGGCGCCAACCGTGATGACTTCGTCGACAGACATGACCAGACCCGTCCCTTGGAGCACACCGCCGCCGCCGCCGCCTCCGGAAGCGCCGCCACCGCCGCCGCCGACAATCAGGTATTCCACTGTCAGGGTCGACTGCGCCGCCTGCTTCTCCCAGGTGGCAGCTGCGTCAGTGGCGGTCGCCGCGCGAGGCTCGGCCCTGTCGAGGTGCAAGGCTCCTGCGCAGCCTAGCAAGATGAACAGCGCCGGTGTGTCCGACGGCTTCATGGCACCGAGGAGGGTGCTGAGAGATGCTGAAGCACGAATGTGAAGGTGTGTTACAAAATGCTTGAACCATACATACATGGATAGGGACACAATAAACGGCCATCCCACTACAAAGATCACGACACTCTGGGCACCACTGGGCCCTTGATAGATCCCCTGGCAAACCCGCTCGTGGAAGGCGCAAACGCCATGCCTGCCACATCGCGATGATCACTGGGCAAAAAGAGTGGCTCTGCGAGCGAGTGACTTGTGGTGCGCGGTTTCAGGGGGGCGCGGGCGCATCACCCAAGAATGCCCCAAAAGGACACCCTAGAATGCCGCCAGAATGGCTGAAGTCACGGATCCCCCTTCCGCTCTTGACTGTAGCATATAATATGAAATACGCAAGGCTGTAACATGTAATACGTAAAAACTTGATACATTATGTGTACTGTGTGGCTCACTCGCCTTTTCGGGCTCCAGGCATACAAGACGTCTGATACCCACAAGACGGTCAAAGATGCCCTCAATAAAGCCATCCGTCTATCCAGACAGCCAGCCAACCAACCGAGTTGTCAGCCTGGCAACTAATCAGAAAAAGCAACTGATCAACCCCATCGACCCAGCCATGCAAGCAATCAGAAGGGTGCCCGGCGGCAGAAAACAAAGCCCTTACGATTTTGTGAATCAGTGCGGGTATTGGTAGGAATGGGTCTTAGTTAATTGTGCGTGCGTCTGCCTGTGAGCGCTTGCTTGGGTATGGAGGGGTCTGAACTGACCGAGTCTAGGTGTGAGTGGGCTTGACTGTGAACGGATCCGAGCATGGGCATGAGTGAAGGGATCCTGGGGGGTCCTGGGGCTTCCCAGGGGGTTCTGAAGCCTTTAGGGGGGTCCCGGGGCCCCCCTGGGCTTCCTGGAGCCTGCAGCCTCCTGGAGTGTTCTCAAGCCTCCCGGGGCTTCCGGGAACCTCCCGATGCAACTCTCCTGGTCGACCCTCCATGGCATGGTGTGATGTTTATGGGACTCTGAAAAGAATCTCGTCTCTCCCCCAAGAGCGGCAACTGTATTTTTCTGCTCCGGAACAGAAACTCCGTTTGTAGCATGGCATTGTCACGAGTAATCATGCACGGCAAGCGTGATCCGCGGCAATGACCCCTGGCATGCTGAGGCGTGGTAGAACGCCAAGCGCTGCCTGGCAGGGCATCTGTAGTCTTCTGAAGCACTTCCTTTCATCACGTCCAGTTGCGTGCATCGCCACCCCCACCTTCCCGAGGCTCCGTGGGCCGCCCAGACTCCTCCCTTGGCGCTCACCAAAGCTTTCCGAGGCTTCCACGGCAGCGGGGGAAGCCCGAAGCCGCCAACATGACCCAACAGTGTCTCAAGAGGCCCCCAACAGCTGCCAAAAAACGCTGCATGCACCTGAATAAGCCACCAAGATGCTCCCAGACCCCCCCGAGGCGCTCTCGAGAAGGGGGGCAACACACACACAGAGGCACACATGCACACATATTTGTGTGGATGTATGTATGTAGGTGTGTATATATATGTATATACATATACATATACATATATAGTTATGTATATGTATATATACATATACATATACATATACATATATATGTATATATATATATATATGTATGTATGTATGTGTACATGTATATATGTATATATACGGATGTATATATATACCCATGTATGACCATATGTATCTTCTTTTATACGCACACGTATGTATATAAATGTGGACGCCCCCCGCCCCAACACCCCCAAACCACCCCAAAACAAACAAACCGCCAAATGATCGTGTTATCCTCATCCTTCTCCGTCTCCTCCTCGTTATCCCGTCCTCCTCCTTCTCAGAAACTGAAAGCGACTCTTTTGAGCTCGTTTGAGGAGGGGTCACGTCTCTGAGCGTAGGGGCCTGAAATCGCTGTGTTGTTTCAGTTTTTTACAAAAAATATGTATATTTGTTTCCTGGTGTTATTTTTTTTCTGATTTCTGGCAGAGACTACGCAAGTTGGCTAGTCTCTCCCAGGAACCCGAAAAACCAGGAAAAAAAACAGAAAAACCTGAAAACACACAGCGTGTTCAGTCCCTCTACCTTCTCCGTCTCCTCCTCGTTATCCCGTCCTCCTCCTTCTCAGAAACTGAAAACGACTCTCTTGGGCTCGTTTGAGGGGTCACGTCTCTGAGCGTAGGGGCCTGAAAACGCTGTGTTGTTTTTCAGGTGTTTCTGGCTTTTCTGATTTCTGGCAGAGACTACGCAAGTTGGCTAGTCTCTCCCAAGAATCCGAAAAAAAACAGAAAAACCAAAAAAAAAAACATGAAAAGCACAGCGTGTTCAGTCCCTCTACGCTAAGGGAGGAGGAATGCGAAAGGATACAAGAGTGACGCGAATGAGCGGAGGCCGAACCGTGTGAGGGTGTGCCGAGATTGACTTGGGGCCTTCGGTAGAGGCTCATCTGCGTGGTCACGGAACGTTTGAGGGGTGCGCCGAAGAAATTCCCCACGCTTCCCCTTCCATTCCAAACAACAGCATGGGTGAATGCAAGTGTTGCCTTTTGTGCAAAATCGTAACGTCACGACAGATCAAAAACAATATGCGTATCCGCGCACATCTCGCTCGGGCACCCCCGGCACGTTTGCCCAGCGTCTCGCAGCGCGGACAGCATTCCAGAGATAAGCTTCACGGTTCATATGTGGCAAGCAAAAGGGCTGCGCATCGGCGTGCGCATCAGCTGCAGCAGATGCTACTGCGCTCGGTTCAGTCAGAGGCCAAACCCTCGCCCACTTGCGGGAAGGACCTCTCGTCGCCTGAAGCGGCGGCCGCGCCCTCGGCCATCGCCGCGGCGATATCCTGCGAGGCGACGTCGGCGGCCGGCGGGCGCGCTGGGGACAACAGGTCGATGCTCGAGCCGTGGGCCTCCCTCCCGCGCTCGATGATACTCTCCTTCATCGCCTGCATGGCCCTCTCGCGCTCCTCCTCGTCCATGGTGGACACGTCGGGGCAAGCCAGGCGCTCGGCGCCGCGCTTAAGCGGCTGCGGCGAGGAGATGTCGCTCACGTGGCCGTGAAAGGCCACCGCGCGATCGCAGAGGCATTGCTAAACGGCGCGGCAGACATTCAGCTGCTCATCGACATCGCGCGTATCTTCGCGAACGGGGCGCGAGGCGCTGGTCGGCTGACCAGCGGCCGCTCGCGGGAACCATTCGCTCCCCTGCCTGTCGCTCGGCGGCTGCGTGGCCACCTCTGGGAAGTTGCATCTCGTGGGCGCGTCCTGGTCGAAGAGCGTTGGGCCACGGACCGTCGATGACTGCCCGAGCTCCTCGCCCCGCGCTAACTTCTTCATGGCGGCCACGGCCCACCTCATGTGTTGGTCGTAGTCGGATGGAACGCGAGTCTGGTCTTTCTTGAATGCCGTGAGGATGTCGCACGTCTCGGGCGTGAAGAGATCTGGTTTCGCGGGCACTGGCCGCGGAAAGCGAGGGGCTGGCTCCTTCGTCGTGGATGCCGCCCGAAAGTACACCCGGTTCGGCGAGAGGAGCACGACGTTGGACCTCGCCATGTACGCCTCCACGTCCGCCATCTTGTAGCTGCACTGCTTTTCGCAGATGAAACTGCAGCCGATGATCTGGATGAAGTCACTGAATGCTACCTCTTCCTGCTCCCTGCTGACGGACTCGGCCGTCGCCTCGAACTCCTCGTTATACGGATTGACGCAGATCTGGCGGGACTGGTTCTGCTCGAAAGAGGCGCCGCCCCACCTGTGCAGCGCGCGGAAAACTACAAAACACAACCAAAGCCCCTGGTAAACTTATTAACGTAATTTGGATGCGTTCAAACAATTTTGTTTCCAAGAAATGTATTTCCCCGCGCGCCGCCGCTTCGCCCAAAGCAGCGCGTCTTCCTCGGCGGGGTCGAGGAAAGCCTTGATCTCGTCGGGGCCCCACTTGGCCAGCGCGGTATCGTCTGCGATGGCGGGCTTGATTATGGTCCCAGGCTCCAATCGCAGGAAGCCGATCTTCTTCGCAGCGATGACGATCGGGCGGAGGTCAGCGCGGCAGTGCTTCTCAATCTGGTAAGCAGAAATAGCGAAGCCGATCGTTTTGGATGCTGTGGATTTGCCGACCCTGGTCTTTCCGATCCACATGGTCCCATGGACGTCGGGGCCCCTAAGGATGGGGGCGACGATGCGGTCGAACAGGAACGGGCCAATCCGCTTGAGAGTGACCGCCCAGCGCTCGAGTGTCCTCGCGCCGACAGTGCCCGACGCGTAGTTGCGGAGCGACTCCTTGACGTCTGATGCCATCCATCCGAAGATCGGAGAGTTCTAGTCGTGAATCATCTCGTCGGTCCACTCCACGAACTGGTGTTTATTGTTGCCCCTCGGGCCGTACTTCTCGATGTAGCGGTAACCCGCCTGCCGCTTGCCCTTGTCATATACATCGGCCCCTGCGGCTGCGGCGGTGGCCGCGGACGGCTGGACTCAATGGCGGATCTGCACTCCGCCCAACCTGTCCATCATATAGTGAAAGAGCTTCAGCGGCGTCTTCTTGTCGGGCGAGTTTCCCCAGTTGGGGGCCAGCGCCGTGCCAGAGACAAAGACCTCCTTCGCGATGTCCGTCCGCGTGGTCTTCTCGAACTTGATGTATTCACAGCGAGCTGCCGACCGTTGTCTTCCTTCGGCAAGGTGTAGAGCTGCATTGTGAATGCGACTGATTCTCACTGGTTCTAGGTCGCCCCGCAGCGCTGAGCCCCCTCAAGGAGAGCGCCGTCGCGCTTGGAGCCCTTCCAGGGTACGCCCAGCGGAAATGCGCTCCTTCAAGGAGAGCGTCGTCGCGCTTCGGGCCCTTTCCAGGAGCGCCCGGCGGCGCTGAGCTCCCTCAAGGGAGGCGTCGTCGTGCTTGGGCCCCCTCCAGGGGGCGCCCAGCGGCGCTGGCTCTGGTTCTGGCTCTGGTTATGGTTCTGGTTCTGGTAATGGCTCTGGTTATGGTTCTGGCTCTGGTTCTGGTTCTGGTTCTGGTTATGAGCTCCCTCAAGGTGGGCATCGTCGCGCTTGGTGCCCCATCCAGGTGGCGCCCAGCAGCGCCGGCCTCTCTCAAAGGGGAGCGTCGTCGCGCTTGGAGCCCTTCCAGGGGGCGCCCAGCGGCGCTGAGCTCCCTCAAGGGGGGCGCCGTCGCGCTTGGGGCCCCTCCAGGAGGCGCCCAGCGGCGCTGGGCTACCTCGAGGGAAACGCAAGTGTTTATGATTGCTTCTGCGTTGCGGCGGGTTTGCCGCTGACTGTTGTTCAGGCAGCGACGGCATTGAGCTCAGTATCTCCAGACAGGGGAGGTATTGTTTAATATCCCCCTTATATTGACAGGGTGACCCTCTTCACCACAGATGACGATGAGGAGGGCGCCCCCATGCGGAGGAGCGCACGTAACCTGAGGCGGTGCGTAGTGACCTGTGCGCTAGAGGCGCATGGCAGCGAGCGCGGCGGCTCGGATCTCGCAATGGCATTGCGGCGTCGGGGGGCGACGGCGCAGGGAAAGGTCAGCTCTCAGTTTGTGATCGATGTAAAAGCTGAGGACTACAACCTGGTGGCATCGCTGACGGGGATGCTCTGACTCCGAATCGGGCTCAGCTCCGAGACCCAGACGAGTGAGAAGCGAGACGGGGAGAGACCCGCGAGGGAGAGCGATGGGGGTGCAGAAGACGAGGACACACGAGGTAGTGGGGGAACTCATCTGGGTCGGAGCAGCCGAAGAGACAGGAGCATGCAGGTGCACTGGGAAGACGGGCGGAGGTCGTCCAGGCCCCCGCCAGGGTCTTGAGGTGGGCCCACGCCCAAGAAGGAGGGGTGTGTGAGAGGACAGCTCGGAGGGCCTCCCAGCGCTCGAGCAGCTCGGGGGCCGCTGGGAGGTCACCCCTTGGGAGCCAGACGGAGAGACGCCGATGGAGCAGAGAGGGGAGGGCGTCAGGGAAAAGAGACGAGGAGAGGAGGCGGGAAAGGATGCGCTGAGGGCGAGGGCGGCGGGCGTCCTGCGCCGCCGCCATGATCTCGGCGTCGGCTGCTGTCGTTGCAACGCGCCAGGCCACGGCATCCACGCCGGGTGGAGGGGCCGTCGCCGAGGTGGAAGTCTCGAGGAATTCAGCGATCGAGCTTCCTCGTACCCAACATTGTGGAGAGGAGCACGTTGTCGCTAGAGCATTGAGTGTTCCGTGCAGCTGTCCATGCGCGCGAAGGGTCTCCAGAGGCCCCGCCCGCCCCCGAGGCCCGTCACGAGGAAGAGTGAGAGAGGCCGTTCGCCAGGCAGACGCGGCAGCGAGCACGCGGGCGGATCGTGGGACTGCAGATGGGAGCCAGGAGCCAATACTTAGGAGCTCCCAGAGGCCGAACGAGATGGGGGGGAGACGGAGGAGACGGTGAAGGACTTGACGCTCAGACCGAAGGAGGGACGGGGGATGTGGGAAGAGCTGGCAGACGTAGCTAAGGACAGGGGGGGGTGCAGAAATTATAGAGCCTGCTGCTGGCTTCAGCAGGAGAGCGGGAGAGAGCTGTCTCGATCGTGCGGGCGCGCCATTTCTGAGAGGGGGCGGCCCATTGCTGTTCTAAAGACGCTCCAGGGCCAAACTCGATGCCAAGGGAGGTTGTGTGTCCACGCACGTGAAATTCTGACCATTGATGGGCGAGATCGGCTATCATGCTCTGGAATTTCGCCTCCACGGCTGGCGTGCAAGACTCCGCCGGGGGGACGACACGACACTTTTCGGGCTGGAGGGGCAGGTTCGCAAGAGCGCGGGCGGCGTCGCAGGGGGGGGGCGAGAGCGGGGAGGAGCGAGATCGAGGGAAGGGCGAGTCCCACATCGTCCGCCGTCGCTCTACATTCAGGAAAGAGCCCTGGGCACCAACTGAATGGGCGAGGGCGCATATCACGAGCTGTAGGGCTGGTTATCTGGGCCTCAAGGTGGCGTAAGAAGGGGTCCATGCACAGAGCCCAGATGGTGCCTGAGAGGGGGCATCCTTGGGCGACCCCTGATGGGGGCCATGGAGAGCGGGAGCCTGGCGGAGCCGCATCGGGCGCGGGCGAGAGCCCCAGAGTAGATAGCAGAAATCACATTCAGAAAACCCGTCGGGATGCGATGTCGCTCGAGCACTCGGTGGAGAAACGCCTGGGAGAGGCAAGGGAAAGCTGCTCGAAGGTCGAAGGAGACGAAAGCAGGAGAGAGGTCAGGGCGGTGCCCCGCGGCTCGAGCGATCGCATCCTGGCGGGCAATGTGGCCAAGGAAGTTGCGGCCGCGAATGAAGCCTTGCTGCGCAGGGTGCGCGCGGTGGGCAGTCAAGTGACCTAGCTGGATGTTCGTCGCCGACGCCACCGCCTTCGCGTCAGCGTTCTTCAAGCTCAGCGGGCGGACGCGGCCAGGCGACCTGGCCACGTCGAAGGAGTCGGACGCCTCCGAGCCCTTGGGAATGAAGGCCATGTCCGCGCAGTTGAAGCCCAGGGGAGCGCCTCCCCCCGCGAAGAGGCGCAGCATCAGGGAGTGGAGGACGTCAGAGAGCCGCTCGTCCGCCATCCAGGCTTTGGCCATCAGGCGGTCAGGGCCAGGCGCAGACGGAGTCGCACGCCGAAGGGCTGCACGGAGAGCATTGACGGATGGCACGTGCAGCAAGGGCGCCTCGAAGGAGGGAAGATACATGTCCAGGTAGCGGTCAATCGCGTCCATGTCGACAGGCTGGTCCGTGAAGTGGGGGTTCCAGTGTGAGCGCAGGGCGTCGAACACGCAGACAGGGTCACGCTCGATGGACGCACTATGGCCGGTGCTCTCCAAGCGGACTCCAGCGAGGACCAGGCGTCGACGAAAGGGCGCCCAGAGCATGGCCCTACGCTGCGCCGCCCGCTGGAGCTTCAGCAGCTGCCACTTGTCGGGCCCCTCGGCGCCAGGCCTGAGGCGCGCCTCCTCGCGGAGCCGCGCGGCGGCCGCAGCGCGCTGGCGCTCGCGCCAGGCCGCGCGCAGCAAGCGGCAGTCCCGATCGAAGTCCTCAGCAGCGAGGAGGGAGCCCACTCAGCAGGGTTGACGGACAGGTGCTTCTCGCCCAGCGCCGTCGATCGCATCAGGCGACGCGCGAGGTGCGCATCTTGACGTCAGACGGCTCGCGCAATGGCACGCATGGAAAGCCGTCTGCCGCCCTCAGCATCCTCGCTGTAGTCGCCGATCGGGAGGGCCTGGATCTCGTTCCTGGTCAGGCGCGCCGCCTCGGTCATGATTTCCTTGACAAGGGCCCAGCGGGAGGCCACCTCCAGGGAGTCCAGGTCAGCGACGTCCAGCAGGGACTTCACGTGCTTCACGCATCGAGGGGAGCGAAGATGTTTGGTGGGATGGGCTGCTCGGTGGGCTCGGATGGCGATCGAGCCCAAACCTTCAGCTGGGTGGCGGCGTGGTCACTGAGGCCCCAGTCCGCCAGCGTCGAAGCCTCCTGCCAGATCTCGAGCGAGATCGCCGCGTTCAGAATGGAGTGCGACTTCAAGGAGACGAAGGCGCGGTCAATGAAGGAGCAGGTCTGGTACTGCTTGGAGAAGTGCGTGGGCAGCTCGCATGTGACTTCTGCAAGCGCTTGCTGGAAGAGCGCTCTCCAGAAGCCTTGGCCCTGGTTGCCGCGATGCCAGACGGAGCGGATGTTGCCCGCCCGTCGAGCACGACCCCGCCCAGAGTCCGATGAGGATGAGGAAGAGGAACTGCAGCTGCCACCACGCCGCGTAGTGGCATTTGGAGTCAGGGTAGCGGCATCGCGGTTGGTTGTCCTGCAGTCAGCGACAGAGGGCCTCTCCAGGGACAGCGGCTCCAGGTCAGCGATGTTGAAGTCGCCGATGGCTATGAAGATACGGTGGCGTTCGTCATCTTGCGCCCATCGGGCCCCATCCATCCAGCTGCGCTTGATGGAGGCAAAGGGGGCCAGCGGGACGTCATGGTTGTGGATGTTGAGGATGCGGATGTGATCGTTGGCGCGCGCGTTGGAGAAGGTGTGCTCAGCAACCCGCCCAGGCACCGCCGTCTCCATCGTGGCCGAGGGGAGCAGGCGCTGGTCCAGGGAGCGCAGCTCGGCCTCAGAGAACCACGGAACCAAGAAGGCCAGGCCACCCGTGCCAGGGTTCGCGCCCGCAGAGAAGAAGGTGCGGTAGTGGTACGGCAGCTGGTCGATCAGGGTCCTGAGTTTGATCTCCGAGCCGTGAGTTTCCTGGGCGACGATGAGATTGCGGAGCTTCATCAGCTGGGCAAGGCGCGCCAGCTTGGCCTTGCGCTTGTGCGCGCGGTGGCACAGGAGGCCGTTGGCGCTCCAGGAAGCAATGCAGAGCCCCCTGCTGGCGAGCGAGTCAGTGCCTCGGGCGGGGGCAGGTGCCCAAGGCAGCCAGCGAGGGCTAGGGGCGCGACCAGCTGGACGTGTCCACCTCGGCGGCAGCAGCTGTGACCTG